CACAGTTATGATTGTTTTATCTTCATGATACCATCCCTTTTACTATTAGGTAGTGTTTCTAATTATTTTTACCTCAAAACTTACTTTGTCTAATTATATCAGGTAATTCCAATATTATTGCTATGCCAGGTTCCTTTGATTTGTTTTTATTTATTATGATTTTCTATCCCTTTATCTTAAATATTTCTTTGGTTCTGTTTTAGATAAGTCTCTTGTAAGCTACATAAAACAAATTTTTAAAAATCAGATATGTTCATTACTTTCCTTAAATAGGCTGCTTCATCAGTTTATGTACACTGAATTCCTAAAGTCATTGGATTTATTTGTATCCTATTTTCGTTTTCAATATCATTGTTTTTCTTTGCTTCATTTATTGCTTTCTATGATAGTGGAAATCATAAAAATATTACTGTAGTTCTTTTCCCCTTGTCTTACATTGTAAGCTATAGGTATTTGTAGTCTTTTGGTGATTTTCTTAAATGTCTTCAAAAATCAAGTATGGATATCTGTAAATTTTTCAAGCAGAGTTTAAAGCTAGTCTTCTGTCAGAAATACAAGTTCACTTTACATACTGTGCATTTTATTACCAATACCTAGAAATACAGTTTAACCTTTCCTTTTAGAGACAAAAACCAAAACTTGATTTTTAAACTATTTAGTAGTTCATTGACTTTACCAATTTCTTTCTCAGAATTATTTATTGACTTTCCTGAGTACAACTTTCCCTCTTGCTGGAGAACACCAATGCATACTTCTTGTAATAAATATCTATGGGTAGTAAACTCTCTCGGTCATTGTAAATTTGGAATAGTTTTTATTTGTTCTTCACTCTTTCTCATTTTTTTGTTAAACTGAAGTATAACTTACACAGAGTCCACAATGTGATGAATTTCTATCTTGTGTGCAATGCATTTGTGGAACTACCACCCAGATAAAGCAAATGTTTCTGGCACCTCAGAAGGCTCCTTCTTCCTCCCTTGTCAACCACTACTCTAATAACCACTAATCCCAAAGATGTTTAACTACAAATGAAATCATACAGTGTGTACGCTGAGTCTTCTTATTTCATTCAGCATTATGCTGCTTTTATTTTGTCTTGCTTTTTTGAGTTGGAGTCTCACTCTGTTGCCCAGACTGGAGTGCAGTATCCACTCACGGCCACCGCAGCCTCGACCTGCTGGGCTCTGGTGATTCTTTCGCCTCAGCCTTCCAAGGAGCTGGAACTACAGGTGTGTGCTACCACGCCTGGCTAATTTTTGATTTATTGTAGAGATGAGGTCTCGCCAAATTGCCCAGGCAGGTCTCGAACCCGCGGGCTCAGGCAATCCACTCACCTCAGCCTCCCAAAAGCGCGGGATTACAGGCTGAGCCACCGAGCCCGGCTTGTTATGCTGCTTTTATTAGTGGTTCATTCTTATTTATCACCACACAGCATTTCAGTGTGTGAATGTATCATTAATTTTCCATCATGAATAAACCTGCTACAGACATTCTTAAATATGTCTTACAGTAAAGTTAGACACTCATTTTTGTTTGGTATATGCCCAAGAGTCAGAATACTGGGTCACTGGGTCTGCTGTATACCTAGCTGTAGTAGATATATCAAGCCATTTTCCAAAGTGGCTATATCAGTTTACACTCCCCCCACACCAGCAATGTGAAATTCTCATTGCCCTGTGGTTTTATTTATTAATTTTTTTTTTTGAGTTGAAGTCTCACTCTGTCGCCCAGACTGGAGCTCCTCAACCTGCTGGGCTTCGGCGATCCTTCCGTCTCAGCCTTCCGAATAGCCGGAATTACAGGCATGCGCTACCACGCTCGGCTGATTTTTTGATTTATTGTAGAGATGAGGTCTCGCCTGCCCAGGCGGGTCTCGAACCCGTGGGCCCAGGCAATCCACTCACCTCAGCCTCCCAAAGGTGTGGGATTACAGGCTGAGCCACCGAGCCTGGCTGCCCTGTGGTTTTAAGTTGCATTTCCTGGATGAATAAAAATATCAAGCACCTTTTCTTCTTTTGTGAAGTACCTACTCTGGTCTTTTGCCTGTTTTGTTTTGTTTTTTTTGTTTTGTTTTAAGCTGAGCTAGCTTTTAGTTATTGATGTAAGAAGCTCTTTAAATACTCCAGATATCCCGAGTCTTTCATTGGCTATGTATATTACAAATACTGTTTCCTAGTCTACAGCTTGCCTTTTTACTCTCTGAATGTTGTCTTTTGATGAGCAGATGTTCTTACATTTAACTCAGTCTAATTTATCATTTTTTTCTTTGATGGTTAGTGCTTTTATGTCTTTTTAAAGAAACCTTTGTTGGTTCCAGTGTCACAAAGATCACTTATGTTTTCTTCTGCCAACTTTGTTATTTTAAATTTTGTACTCACTCTTGAACAACAGTATAGTTGGGTAGAAAATTATATTTTCCCTTGCACTTTGAAGATATTACTTAACTGACTGCTAGCCTTTTTGTTAAAGAGAAACCTGCTGTCATTTTTACTTCCTTTGCAGCTAATTTTCTCTTTTCTCTCTTCTAGTTTTTAAGATTTTCTCTTTATCTTTGATAATCTATAGTTTCCCTACCTTGTTTTTAACTGTAGGCTTATTTTATTTTTATTTATCCTAAACAATATTTGGAATTCATTTTTTGATCTGGGAACTAAGGTCTTCATTTCTGGAAAATTCTCATTTTTTTCTTTCTTTAAATATTGCTTCTCCATTATTCTTTTTGTCTGGAACACCTATTAGATATAACATTAAGCCTCTCATTGTGACCTTTATTACTTTTAGCTGGTCCTTCATATTTCTTATCTTAGTTTTTGTGTCACATTCTCAGTGAATTTCTCAGTTCTGTCTTCCAGTTTACTAATTTTACCCTTGAACTGGGTTCAGCAAATGTTATACTATATAATGAGTGATTTAAATGTCTGCATATGTAATTCTAAATATCTCTAATTGCTTCTTTTGATACCTATGCATTCATGTTTTCTTTCTTCCTACGTTTGTTTTACAATGTCTTCTTTATAAATAGATAATAGCCTTCACTGATCTCTTTGAGCATCCCAAGCTTTTGGTATATCTAGTACACAAAATTAATTTTATTTGGAATAAATTCATGTTGATTTTGTTAGATATAATTCTAAGAATTATAATTTGCCTTGCATTTTGCAATTTTGTATTATAAGCTTCTGAGTGGGAGGTTTTTAATTTGTGGTTTCTTTTTTTCTCCCATCCCTTTATGCTTACTCTTCCAAACCAGAACCTGTTCTTAAAATGACTTTGGGGACTCAGGCCTTATGACCACATTGGATTAATGCCATAGGAAATTTTGTTACATTATTGTGGTAAAGGCAGTGTCTTGTCTCCTACCTCAACTCCACCACTTTCTATAACCTCACTGTAGACAGCAGGTAGGCAGATTTTTCCCAGCATCCTATTATAAGCAGGGTCGTAGAGTAAGAAGTCTTGCTCTGGCTTGCATGAAGCACATTCAGTCCTCATTGTCCTTAAGAGCTGAAACACCCAGATATCAGAGCTCACTACCTGAGTGCCTTCCATTTCTGATCTTGTTTTCAAGTCTATCTATGCGTAGTCCACTTCTTTCTTTTTTATACTTTATTACTTATTATGTGTTTGGGGCAGGAGGGAGGGGCTAAGATGATGTTTGAACTTACCATTCTATTTTGTCTGTGTGTCTTAATTTTGTTTTTTTTTAGTCAGAGTCTCACTCTGTCACCCAGGCTGGAGTACAGTGGCATGCTCACAGCCACTGCAGCCTGGGTGACAGAGTGAGACTCTGCCTCACGTGATCCTTCTGCCGCAGTCTTCCAAGTAGCTGGAACCACAGGTGCACACCACCATGTCCAGCTAATTTTTTGATTTATTGTAGAGACGAGGTCTTGCCAAGTTGTCCGAGCTGGTATTGAACCCCTGGGCTCAGGCAATCCTCTTGCCTCCACCTCCCAAAGTGCTGGGATTACAGGTGTGAGCCACCATGCCCGGCTTGAACAGCTTAATTTTAAAATGTTTTTACAAGCTTAATACTGTTACACCAGAGTAGATTTTAGAGTGAGAACATAGCAAGAGCTCGAAACCTCAGAATGACTCTCAATGATAACTCACTAGGACTCATTCATATCTTTTAGCATTTGGTCTAAGAAGAAGGTTACCTGTTTTTCTACCCCATGGTATTGGAATTACCCAAGCCCTGGAGCTTACTTTCCTATTCACTTCGTTTCTCCTATTTTAAATAATAATGCAGTTATGATATGTTGAATAGCTTACTGTGTGAAGGTGGTTACCCAAATACTTCAAATAGGTTATTTTATTTAATTTTCACAAAATCCTGAGTCTTAGTACAGGTTGGGTATCCCTTATCCAAAATTAAGTGTTCCACATTTCAGGGTTTTTCAGATTTTGGCATATTTATAGTATATGTACTGGTTCAGCATCCCTAATCCAAAAATCTAAAAATACTTGGAGTATCATGTTGGTGCTCCAAAAGTTTTAGATTTTGGAGCATGTCAGATTTTGGATTTTCTGATTAGGGATTCTCAACCCATATTAGCATTCTTATTTTACAAATGAAGATATGGAGGTTTAGAGAAATAAGTTGCCTATGGTCACACAGCTAATAGCAGAGCTTTGACTGGACCACCAGCAGTCTGGCCCCAGATCTAAGTTTTACAGCCTCTTCTTTGATGGGTCAGTCCTTGACTTTTCTTAGCCTCGCTATGCACGATTGACATACAGGCCACTGGGGGTCTGCCATAATACCTCCCCTTGGTGGTATCTGCTTTTCTCTAATGAAAGACCACATTTTCCATGTTTGGTAAGATATCAGAAACATATGTTGGCATGAATATGAAAAAGGAGCAATAACAGTAACAGATAAGTAGCCAGCAGCTAATATCATGACTTTAACTGGAAATAAGAATTGAGATTCCCAGTCTCAATGCATATGGAAGCTTTTATGCAGATTTATTTTGGTACATAATTGATGTACTTACCTCTGCTAAGTCTTCAAAGCAGCTTCCTACCAGTGGATGGGGACTGCCTTCATCTGTCATTTCTACAGTATCTTCTATGTGGCCCAGTAACTTTATACTAAGTTCATGTATATCTACTATACGACTAAATATATTTTCCACATCCTGTTTGGGGGAAACACATTAATTCAGTGAGGATATATAATAATAAAAAACAAATCTAGAGCCAATAAGTCATTTTATAATCACAAAATTTAACATGGCAGATACAGTAAGAAATTTTAATGACTTACAAATATAAATAAAAGATAATTCAAGAATTCCTTTTGCAATAATATACAGTTTGCAAATATATTTCTCTAGTCAGTGATTTCAACCTTTTGGTCTCAAGGCTCCTTCACACTCTTAAAAAATTATTTAAGATTCCAAAAAGGCTTTGTTCATAACTATGTCTTTTAATATTTACCATATCAGAAGTCAAAATCAAGTTTTTTTGTTTTTTGTTTTTTTAGTTGGAGTCTCAGGCTGGAGTACAGTGATTCACTCATGGCCACCGCAGCATCGATCTGCTGGGCTCGGGCGATCCTTCCGCCTCAGTCTTCCAATTAGCTGGAACCACAGGCATGCACCACCATGCCTGGCTAATTTTTGATTTATTGTAGAGATGAGGTCTTGCCAAGTTGCCCAGGCTGGTCTTGAATCTCTGGCCACAGGCAATTCACTCGCCTCTACCTTCCAAAGTGCTGGGATTTTAAGTGTGAACCACCATGCTCAAATTAAAACTAGTAATTTTTTAAAAAATTAATTCACTTAAAAATACCAAAAACCCACTGTGTTAACATAAATAGCATTTTTAGAGACAGTAACTGTATTTTTCTAAAGCCATAACAAAACACAAAACATTTAGTAGAATGGCAATGTTTTACATTTTGCAAATCTTTAACATGTAGCTTAATTGAAGACAGCAGAGTTTTCATATTTATTTCTGCAATCAATATGTTGTGATGCATTATTTGGAAGTATATGAAGAAAATCTAGCTTTACACAAATGTGTAGTTTCTTTTCTTTTTCTATGTTATTTTTCTGTTGTGAGATATAACTCACATCCCATAAAATGCACTCTTTTAAAGTGTACTTACCGAGGTTTTCAGTATTGGTTGTACAATCATTGCCAGCATCAAACTGGAGAACGTTCCATGACTCCCCAAGCAGCCCTGCGCCCAGCAGCAGCCACTCTCCATTCCTCCCTTCTCCCTGCAACCACGCATCTACTTTCTGTCTCTATGGATTTGCCTATTCTGGGTTTTCAGATAATAGAGTGGATATCCTTCTCTGGTACCACACCAAGTTTCAACAAATGGTAGTTTCTTAAAGGTAAATGCAATGTGGAATCTGAAACTGTAGCAATTTTGTATTGTTACATCAAAATCCATTGGCTACTATTATTTGACTTTGTTATTTTTGTCATTGACTATATTTGTTAAATCAACTTTGAAATATGGTTCATATACAACAAGAAACTCCTATTTCAGATGTTCTTGTGATGAGAATTTATGTAGCTATTCATTCTCGTGACCACCACCATAATCAAATACAGAACCTTTCTGCCACTGAAGAAGGTTTCTTTGTGCCCCCATCCTCATCAGCCCTCACTGCTCTCGCTCCCAGCAAACCTGTGATCTGCTGTCACTACAGAAGTGTCTTTTCTAAAATATTAAATACATGAATCATATCTAGTCTTTTGTGTCTAGTTTCTTTGCTCCTGTTTTTAAGATGCACCCATATTGTTGCATGCAAAACTACTTTATTCCCTTTTATTACAAGTACCATACCACAGTACGGACAGTCTACAATTTGTACACTCATTCACCTGTTAAATAGACATTTGGGTTATTTCCAGTTTTTGGCTATTGTAAATAAAGCTGTAACCATGCGCAGTGGCTCACACCTGCAATCCCAGCACTCTGGGAGGGTGAGGTAGGAGGATTGACTGAACACAGGAGTTTGAGGCCAGCCTGAGCAACACAGCAAGACCTTGTCTCTACAAAAAAAATAAAATCAGCCAAGTGTGGTGACATGTGCCTGTAGTCCCAGCCACTCAGGAGGATCACATGAATCCAGGAGTTCGAGGCTATAGTGAGTCATAATGATGCTACTATACTCCAGCCTAGGCTACAGAGTAAGACCCTGTCTGTCAACAAATGAATGAATGAATGAATGAATAAAGCTGCTATGAACATGTTTTCATTTCTTCTGGGTAAAAACCTAGGAGTAGAATTGCTGGGTAGTATGGTTAATTTGTGTTTATTGTTATAGAAAACTGCTAAGCTATTTTCCAAAATGTTTATACTAGTTTACATTCTCACAAGTAATGTGAGGATTTTATATTCCCATAGGCAGATGCTCCACATTCTTTTGACATTTGGTATTATGAGTCTTTTTAATTTTAGCCTCCCTAATGAGTATATATCACTGTGCTATTGTGGTCTTGTTTTACATTTATCTGATAAGTATTGATGTTGATCACCTTTTGATGTGCTTTTTGGTCATCTTTTGTCCTTGATTTTTAGGTTCTAGGAAATTTTTGCCTCTTTTTTACTCTTATTTTTTTGAAAAGTAATTTACAAACCATGCAATTCACTCAGTTAAAGTGAACAATTCAGTGGTCTTTACTATATTTACAGATTTGTACAACCATCACCACAATCTACTTTTATTTTTTAATGTTCACTCGTTGCCACAACTCAAGCTCAGTCCCAGGCTCTGCAATAAACACTATTTTCCCATCAGCATTTATGGCCATGTGGCTACAGTTCCAGGAATTATACGTAAGCCCCTTAGACAACCTCACCTGCTCTCACTCAGCATTTCCCCAGGACCCAAGGAGGTTGGTCTGATTACTATTGTAAGGTCAGTAATCCTTTGTCTAAGTTTCAGTGTTCCGGGTTCCCTTCCCCTTGTGCTCCCAATAATATTGCTGTCATACTTCTAATATGGTAATTACCACAATGACCACAAATTGTATTACAATTTAATTTTAGGTTTACATCTCTATCTTGACTAAATTTAAGGGAAGGAATTGTTTCCTTTTTTTTTTTTTTTTTTTTGAGTTGGAGTCTCACTCTGTCGCCCAGACTGGAGTGCAGTAGCACACTCCCGGCCACTGCAGCCTTGACCTGCTGGGCTCCAGCGATCCTTCAGCCTCAGCCTTCCAAGTAGCTGGAACTACAGGCACACGCTACCATGCCCAGCTAATTTTTTGATTTATTGTAGCGATGAGGTCTCGCCAAGTTGCCCAGGCAGGTCTCAAACCCGTGGGCTCAGGCAATCCACTCACCTCAGCCTCCCAAAGTGTGGGATTACAGGCTGAGCCACTGAGCCCGGCTGGAATTATTTCTTATTCATCGAATCCTTACAGCTAAGCATGGTACCTGAAGATTCAGTTAAAACTGATGAAGTGTTGTTTGAATAAGTCAAATGAGTCAAATTAAACAGAAATATCTTCCACCTAAACAAGAGACTTTATTCTCTCGAGTACATGAAAGATTCTGTGAATTTATTTTCACTTACATAATCAGTGTACTTTGGATTTTGTCTTTTAATTTCTGATGTTTAATTTCTTGAAACTGTTGCAGCACTTTACTTATGATCATGAATTAAGTACTACAACTTAAAAAATATAACAGATTAGTTACCACGAACTATACAAATTCAAATTTGAAGTGACCATGCAAATGTAAAAACATAAGCAAATAGACATATATACAATGATACTTACATTAGCTGAAAACAATTTTGAATTGGAGACAAAGGGCTCTCTAAAAACCTTTATAATTAAATTTAGTTCCCTTATATATTGTCGAATTTCTGCCATGAATGCTTTCACCAAGTCATAATAAGTTTGTTCTCCTGAGGTGGAAGGCTCTTCATCAGTTAAAGAAAGTATATTTATGTCTTCTACATCTTGATGAAACATATCCATCAACACCTACACAGAGATGGAAAAAAGTATGATCGAATAGGAACATATAGCCGCACTGGAAGATCAATGCCTACATTCTTTGAACCCAGCCCTTACATGATTAAAAAGCAGATCTACCATTGCCTCTTCTTGAGCATACTGCCAGCTTCCCTCCACAGCTTCCCTTCAACAGAATTCTACATCTGAGATCACAAGTTCTCTATCACCTCCAGAATCACTTCATCTGTCTGTCTTTCTCGTCAACCTTGTACAAGTCCAATCTGTTCAAATCCTTATGTGAATTTCCCTGGTTTGGTTTTCTCTGTCTCACCATCATCACTGTATTCCTTGGCCTTGCCATTTCATGTTTAAATAATTCTTACAGCTTCTATTTGATCTCTTTTCCTACATTTTTGGGGATAGGTCAAAGCAATCTATTTCCTCCAAGAAGTCGACTATTATTACTCTTGCTGAAACTCCTCGTTGCCCTGCTTGTGAACGTCTGCAGCAGCAGCATCCCTATAAAATGATAAATAACATTTACTCTCGTGCTACTTTCTGTTTTGTCCACTCTGGAGCCTTGTGCTACATTTCTCTTTTATCTTCTCCCTGTGTGAGGACATAGTAGGCACTCAAACATTTTGCATTTATCTGATTCACTAAAAAGCATCAAGGAGTTTATATTCCTTTATAAATAATACTTTTTAAAAACTAAATTCCTACTCATTTAAAAATGCCCAGACATTTGAAATTCTTCTTCAGTTAGGTAATTATCTTACTCTATATGGTCACATTCTCAAAGAACAAATAAACACTAGTACATAAGTAGATTCAATAATCAGAAAGAATATTCTAATCAGTAAGCATACAGTGAGGAAAATAGAATGAAATGCTTCATCAGAAACTATTTTCTGCAAAGTTATTTTCATAAATGAAAATACTGGGACAGTGACTAAAAGCTTTAGACTCAGACAGATCCGGACTTGAACTCCAGAAACTGAAACTTATCAGAAAATTCTGGACCAATTTCTTTATCCCTCTGAATTTCAGTTTCCCTTTATAAAATGTAGATAAGGGGCAACCCCCTGGAGTTCCCTCCCTTCTAGGAGATTTTCTGTCCTCTCAATAAATCCTGGCTTCTTAAAAAAAAAAAAAAAAATGTAGTGTAGATAAGATCACCTAGCATAAAGACCAAAAAGCAAGCCACATATATGCTTAACTTGCAGTAACTATTTGCTCTCAATATTATTATTCTAAAACCATAAAAGTAATATCTAAAGAAAGCTAGGTACTAAAGTAAAACTATCATTTAGCATTTTTACATTTTCAGAAATTGTTTTTCAAGTAAACCCATAACTTTATAAATCTCCCAGTCCCATAAAATTTTAAGAAATTCATTAGTAAAAGATTAATACTATAATTAACCCTAGTTGCAGCAGCATGTAAGAAAAAACTACATGACATATTTAAACACATTTTAATATTATATACCTAATATCTTATTTCTATAAAGTGATATCTTGAACACTTGTTATTAGATTATTGGTAATATCCCCCAATACATAATAATATACAATACTATTCTGTCTGAATAGTATGGTAGCATCTAATAAGTCACTAATAAAAATTTAAGAAAAGAACATAGAAGCTTAGTTTCCTACCTTGTCAGCACACATTGCCACTTTAATATCTTGTTTTGTAATTTCATAATGCCGTATATTTCTTACATAATTTCCCACCAGCTTTAAAATGTCTGCAGAAATGTACTCTAATACTGCTACTATGTAAACAGAGACCTGGTGGTCAATTTTATAACCTAGAACCTCCTGCAAAATTAAAAGAAAAGCATGTTTAAACATTGTATACTGCAAATTGAACACAGTGATTTAAATATATATATTTAGGTTAACTTTTACTGAGGCCTGTGATTATCAATACCATTCAATTTTAAGAGGCTCAACTATGAAAAATATGTACTGCTATACTATAGTATATAACTAAGCTAAGAAAAGGCAAGGCAAAATTACCTCTAAGCATGTAAAATACTTGAGAAGTATAGCTTACAAAGAGACAATCCCTAACCTGCAAAGAAAGGCCCAAGTTTGGGGAGGAGAGCAAATACTGTTTTTTACCTAATTTCGAATACCTGAAAGCAACTACAACGAACGAGTTTTTTCTTTTAAACAAAATGAAGATTAGTATATTACTGGTATCTAGGAAGATCAATTGACCATACATACCTCTATCCTTTCCAAGGGAAGCAGGGCTCCCCAAAACCTTAGTGTCATATTCCTGGTCTACCTGGCTGTTCTCCGGGAAAAAAATCCCTGCAATGTCCCACTGAACAATGGTAGTTGTTAAGACAGTGTTAAATAGTCCTAATAGTTCAGAGAAAATGGGCTTTTTTGGGGACTGGTCAGTTCCTATAGGATAACACATTCTATCTTCTAAACAAACCAATTGAAGGGGGAAAAGATACTTTGAAATACGTTTATTATAAGTTGAGGGCAGATTGCATTTACCTTTTAGGATATGTAAAAACTATTAAGTGTGTCATGATAAAGATGTGTTAAAATAAATGGAAAGGATAGTCACAATTAGATCACAAAACTCAACAGGTGAGATCATTAACACAGCACGTATATACCTCAGTTTTTAAATTCTTTTAGAATATAATTCAGCTGAGGTGAATGGATTGCCTGAGCCCGCAGGTTCGAGACCCACCTGGGCAGCGAGACCTCATCTCTACAATAAATCAAAAAATCAGCCGGGCGTGGTAGCGCGTGCCTGTAATTCCAGCTACTTGGAAGGCTGAGGCGGAAGGATCGCCGGAGCCCAGCAGGTCGAGGCCGTGGTGGCCGGGAGTGGCCACTGCACTCCAGTCTGGGCAACAGAGTGAGACTCCAACTCAAAAAAAAAAAGAATATAATTCAATGTGTGGCCAATAAAAATGATGAAGAGAGAATTATAAAGAAGCATGCAATTACTAATAATTTAGTAGTTTTCCATAACTTGCACATTTCTTCAGACCAGTTAGTAAGATAAAGGCAGATATTTCTATTAAAACAACCAAATGCAAAACATAAACTTAAATACCCAATGTTTACCATGAAATTTTAGACAAGATCAAGCAGACTTGAATTTTATAACACTATCCCTTAGAGCCTTGTGAACTTGACCTAGAAATTATTCAATCATTTTCTACCTCTATCACCTCATTTACAAACTGGGAATAATAAGTTTGTTAAGTAATAAAACTCAGAGACAATGTAAGCACGTATTAGCATTTTGCCTATATTAGAATATGTACAAAATTATTGACATCTAAATTAAGGTCTTAATTAGTACAATACCTGTATTTTTGTTGTAAGAGATAATCATAGTTTGTTCATTATTTTGAATTAAAATAGCATTATTAGAGTTTCTGGCAGTAATTCTACTAGTTCTAGAGAGAATCAACTGAGTGACCGATTTAAATGATAGGAGGGCGGAACAAGTTAGATGATCTTTGTGTTCAAGGATTACACATAGCCCTATGGCAGTTTCACAGAGGACCCTACACAAAATATTAAGGTCTAAAGAATGTATAGGAACACTTAGGTTTAGCCAACAGGGAGAAGTTTTATACATTCTCTCTGTGGTTCTAGTAACACCTGAGATAAACAATATCCTCAATGATAGCTTTCTTGTTTCTTTCAAATTGCCCATTACTACTGATGTCAAATGACTTTAAGTCAAGCTGCACAATTATACTTTCCCACAGCAGTTCACTCACCACATGAATCCTTGGAAAACTCAGAACAAGAGAATTTTATGTTTGTCAAGTCTATTATTCATAAAATATATTCTTATTATATGAAAATGGTGGGTTTTATTTTGCTTTTAAAAGTCAACAAGGCGTGTTTCCACATTACCTTTAACAAAGGATGGATTTTTTCTACTGGGAGAGACAGGGGGTTCCTCCGCTTCCTCTTCTCAATGGCTGACTGGGCATCAGCGATGGCCCACTTGTCAATTGGATGAGGGAAACTCTTTTGAACACGTTCCTTGGAAAATAGGAAAATAATAACATTAACAAATATGTCAAACAGTGCCCTTCACTTAAAAATTTACGTTTAAAATCAAAGAATACCAAAAGTAGAGCCTTTTCCATGTGGTGTAATTTACATTACAAAAACTGAAGCAAACAAAAAACTATATACATGCCAATGTATTAGTTCTTAATTAAGTAATTAAGAAAGTAAACATTCCTTCTATTATCTAGGAAAGAAATCACATCCTGAACTTCAACTTCACTATGGCAAAGTTAATGACAAGAATGAGTAGACGTTACCTTATACAGTACTTTTATAAGGTTTCAAGGAACAACACCTAAGATCAAGAAGCAAATCTCTAAACCCAATTCTCATTCATTTGTCCTTACTTTCAGTACCAGTGACAAGCTCAAGAAGCATTTTGCAATTGGAGCCTCCAAGACTTTATTTTCTTTTTTCTATAACAAAAAGGGACTTAACTTCAAAACTATTTACAAATTATGGAAATCGTTGGTTTGCATTAGTAACAGCAATTTTAATATACTGTAATTTATCTCTAAAGTCCTCCACAGGTCATTCATTTTTAACAAAATACTTCTATTTAATTTCCAGTAGTTATTTGTTAAAATTTCTACTGAAAGTTTACTGAAAGTGGAAGAACTCTGGTCACTGTAACAGCTGAATTCCTGACTTTAATAAAACTAACATAATTTACTTCAAACAAAAGGTGCTTTCATCTCAAGTTTTTTAAAGTCGACTTGTAGGAATCATAATTAAAACCAGTAGAGGTCGCTATTACATAACTTTAACACATATTTTGAATTGATTGACTAGCCAGTAACATGTCAACTACTAGATGAAACTGAACATCATCCCTAATTATAAATCAGTTGCTAGTAAAATGGAAAATAAAAAAGAGATTACCATGTGATACTCTGTAGGCGGGGGAGGAACACAATGATTCTAGGGCATATTATGTGCAAATTCATAGATTGAAAAGTATAACCTATTCGATTTTAATATATTTTCTCTCCATCTATGTTCAAAGCTAAATTAGCTGCCAAATAAAAAAGTGATCGTTCTAATTCTAATTAATGGAATTAGAAGCGTATTGAAAGACATCACTGTAATTAAAAATGAAGTTTACAAATCTTTTCAGCTGCCTGGTTGAAAAGCTATTTGCTAGGATTACAGTTTCATGGAGTAAAAGGCAAAACAAAGGTCCAAAACACGGGTCGGGGAGGGCAGGTGAGAAAGGAGGGGAGGGAAGGGCACAGAGTGGAAAGAAGCAGCCAAAACCCAACTCTCCTCTCTTGTCCAAGTTGATACTGCACACTTATCCAAAAAGGGCAGAGACCATGGTTTTCAGTTAAAATGTTTAAACATTTCAGTTAAAATGTTTAAACCACGGGTTTAACCCATGGTTAACTGAATGAGTGTAGCCATGCTGCAAGACCTAGTAACGCTATGACTCTGTGGTTGTTCAGTTTTTTAAATTATAAAGATGTGGGGTACGACTCAGGGTTAGGTATACAAATGTTGATTATGCAGGTACTCTTGTTGATGAGGTGTGCCCCTCCCTTCCCTGGCAGTTTCTCTCAACTGCCAATCCCATCCCCCCCTCCCCTGGCAGTTTCCCACTCCTGTCAATTCCTTTCTTACAGTATTATAATTGTTCAAGGTCCGCTTATGAGAGAAAACATATGGTACTCTGTTCTTTGTTTCTGTGATAGATTACTGAGTATGACACATTTTTTAAACCTCAATTCATTTAGTAAGAAATAAATTTTCAGCACATTTTACATTACTGCCATATACATACTCAAATGGAACAAAGGTTCCTAAACAAAACCTGCTCTTATTATATGCAGCACACTGATATTTTTTATGCTATTCTATTTTTTTAAAATGATGGTTGGGCAGTGCACTAAAGTGGTTTTAGGATTTACTAATGGGCCGTGACCTGGAGTCGAAAAACACTGGTGTATAGTGGAGAACAGAAAAGCAGTAGAAGAAAACAGAAGTTGAAACCAATCTGACAATTCCAAATAGATTTAACATCCCTCTGGAAAAAAAAAAATCACCTGGTCTGGAATCACAGAGGCAAGCCGTGGGCAGGGGGTGGAAGCAGAAGGAAAAGGAAGCAGAACAGCCATCCCTATCCACACCAGTGTCATCCCCCTCATTTCAAGCTTATTGTTTTGAGGAATGGAATAAGTGGACAGAAAACCTGGAATGATTTTTTTAAAAAGGAAATTGACAATGATGAAGAACAGCACATTCTAAACTAACTTATTAGTGTATGAATGAAATCAAGCTACCAAATACAATACTTAGGAGATAACGCCAAGAGTCAGAATGCATGGGGAAAGATAAGAGGGTCAAAAAGGGACCTAGTGTGTGGAAAGGTCAAATTGCAAGAATTACTTTATCTTTTGTTATGGCAAATCTAATTATAATTTTGTGACAAAATAAAATTTATTTCACAAGTATTTTATATATTTTTAAAAGTAAAGAAGCCCAAGGAGGAATGATCAATGAAAGATTTAAGAATTAGAATACTATTACTCTAATTTCAAGATTAATAATTTTATTTGTTTTAAACTGGAAACTTCATCTTAATATTTAAGTGCCTTTCTAAAAAAATTAATGCAATACAGAGCTAAGTTTGAGATCTTGCTCTGGCTATTATTAGCAGAACCCTCTTCATCCTTTCCTTTACTCAATAGAGGTTTAAACAGATAATCTTGAAGGTAAATTTCAGTACAAACAATCTAGGTCCTATCAAAATTCCTATATGTATACTTTAGTGCAAAAGTTGAGATCCCCATGTACTTTTAAGGCCTATTACTGGTAATAAAGGCTTAGAATATGGGATTTTTTTTTCTTTTTTGGTCGAGAAAGGTAGAAAATATGGAGAAGTTATTTGGGAAATCTGAATGTTAGTGAAAAATGTATTAGAAATTATAAAGACTCTTTAGGATGCCAAGGAAAAGGGAGAAAAGCTGAAAAGAGTGGAAAAAGAAAGCACACTTTTCACATCTTAGGATGAGAAGACTCGTGACAAAAAAAGGTCTAAGATAGAAGAGTTTAAGAAAGCCCAAGTTAAATGAGGAGAAGAAAAGAACTATCAGCGTCCTAAGAAATCAAAGCTGATTAAATACAGGACATGCAGGCCAGAGAGAGAAGACATGACAATGGAAACCAATCTAGCCAAATAAAAACAAGTACAATTATGAAAGAATAAGACCTAAGCAATGAAAGAATATGCTCTACCAGGGACATATCACAGAAAAAAATACTAGCTCATGCCTCTATTTTTCTTTAAGATTAAATACAGAAAATAATACTTATTATAGGAGAAAGAGAAATAAACCAGATTGCAACAATTTTCAGACTGTCTTTTAGAGGTTGAATGAATTTGAATCAACAGGGTAAACTATTTTATACCCTTCTGCAATTTCAGATCACTGACAGAGATACAGATGCAGGAGTATATATGAACACACACACATACATACAGTTGGCCCTCCATGGGCTCCACATTTGTGGATTAACCAGCTGTGGGTCAAAAAAAATTTTTAAACCCAACAGAGTTAAAAAAAATACAGAATAACAACTATTTATATAGCATTTTTTTTTTTTTTTAAGTTGGGGTCTCACTTTGTCGCCTAGGCTGGCGTGCAGTGGCATGATCACGACAAACATGGCTCACAGAAACCTCCAACTCCTGGGCTCAGGCAATCCTTCCACCTCAGCATCCTGAGTAGTTAGGTCTACAGGCACACACCACCACGTCCAGCTAATTTTTTTTTGAAGAGATGAGGTTTCGCCCAGGCTAGTCTAAAACTCCTGGCTCAAACAATCTGCCTGCCTCAGCCTCCCAAAGTGCTGGGATTACAGGTGTGAGCCACAGCATCTTGTAAGCATTTACTTTTCATGAGGTATTGTAAGTAATCTAGACTTAAAGCATATGGGGGGCGTGTATAAGGTATCTGCAAATGCTACACCATTTTATGTCAGGGACTTGAGCCTCCAAGGATTTTGGTATCTGTGGGGGGCACCTGCAACCAATCCCCCATGGATAAGAAGGGATAACTGGACTTCCTTATTCTTCTGGAACACTGCTGGCAGACAGTAGATACTCATATATTAGCATGGATTAGTGAATACTGGCTACATCAATAAAACAAAATCCCACTCATATGGACAACTAATGGTTCACAGCTGGGATTATCTGCAGTACAATTTATCAATATTTTAAAATCAGCATAAGCAAGAGTTTTCAAGCACTTTTGAAACACTAGTTTTCCTAAAACTGTAGAGCAATTAAAAATTAATCTTGATTTTTCATGAAAATATGTGTGGGATTAAGTAGTAATTGCCACCTACTTTGCCATATACTGCATTCCAGCCTGGGCAACAGAGTGAGACTCCAACTCAAAAAAATAAAATAATTTTTTCTTATAAAGCCCTCAAAATTCTTTTTTTTGAGGGGGAGGGGTTGGAGTCTCCCTCTGTCACCCAGTCTAGAGTACAGTAGTATGCTCATGGCCACCACAGCCTTGACTTGCTGGGCTCAGGCGATCTTTCTGCCTCGGCCTTCCAAGTAGCTGGGACTACAGGTGTGTGCCACCATACCCGGCTAATCATTTTTTTATTTTTTATTTATTGTAGAGAAAAGGTTTCACCATGTAGCCAGGCTGGTTTCAAGTCCTGAGCTCAGGCAGTCCTCTCGCCTCGGCCTCCCAAAGTGCTGGGATCACAGGTGTGAGCCACCTCGCCCAGGCATCTACTTTCTAATATACCAAATAAGGAGAAAATAACTATCCCACAGGATTGTTGTAAGGACATAAAAATTCATAGAACAGTATTTTGAAATTAAAAAGCCTATTATACAACTGATTAATAGTCCTATTATCATCATCTTCTTGTATCTGTATTCTCTTTCAAAAAATCCATCCCCAACCTCAAAGCCAGCTTGTTGGAATCTTATATGACTTTTTCTATTTTAAGGGTGAAGTGCTTAAAAATATAAGGATATAGGGTAAATAGCTTAGATAGCTCAAGAGTTCTCTTTTAAGTGAATATTAAAAGTTATGAAGCTGGAGTGTGCCTATAACCCCTGCTACTCAGGAGGCCCAGGCAGAAGCATCACTTGAGCCCAGAAGTTTGAGGTCAGCTTGGGCAACATAGTGCGACCCAGTCTCTAAAAAATAGCTACCAAATAGCCTTTATTTAGAGTCTTGAATGCCTAGATATTGATTAAATCTATGCGAGTGGAAGATTGAGAGACTCATGGTTATTTCTGAGAATTTAATGAAGAGCTTGAATATTGGAAAATGAAAGATTAGTTTTTATACTAATTAAAAAGGAGGAGACTAGATAAGCATAGGTACTAAACAACATATCTGGAAAGAGCTGAATTTGAGTTTGCAGTGTCACCAGACTAGCACGTTCTTGGAATGTCCCAACATCAGAATAATAAGCCTCATGAGACCTGTAACTCCATCCTAATATGCTAGTCACAGGGGTAGATGCTGCGTTTTACAAAGGCTGTGGGGAACCTAGCCAAGGATCCTGAAAAGCAACTGGAATTAACAAAGAAAGTCAGGCAGCTAGTTCCATCCAAGATCTACTCTGTGAAGCCAAATGTAAATAGGTGGCTAAAGAAAATTAGGAATAAAAGGTATATGACCTTATGATTCAATTGAAAAAATTGGGATAAAAGTGTAAAAGACAGTCAGTCATAGTGCTCACACCTGTAATTCCAGCACTTTTGGGAGGCCAAGGTAAGAGGATTGCTTGAACCCAGGAGTTCAAGAATAGCCTGGGCAACATAGCAAGACCTCATCTCTACAAAAAATACAAAAATTAGTTGGGTATGGTGGTGTGCACCTATGTGCTACTACTCAGGAAGCTGAGGCCAAAAGATCAGGAGGTCGAGGCTATGGTTAGCTGTCATTGTGTCACTGCAGTTCAGCCTGGGCAACAGAATGAGACCTCAACTTAAAAAGGGAAAAAGTAAAAAAGTTACTTTGAATTACTTAAGAAATATTCCAAAGTGTATGATCTTTTCCACATCCACAGCCTCTGTACTTCAGTGTTCCTTAATACCTCTCTGCCTCAGGTGACATTTGAATCACCCACGAAGACTTATAGACAGGACTGTCCTTGTCCCATCACCCACACGGTAGTGGATGTGATCCTTTCTACTCTGTAAGCTGCTTCTGGAATGTTCTTCTTCCACTCTCATTTAAAGTCCTGTTATCCTGTGCAGCTTTATTGTCTACACTGGGAATACATAAAATGCCCTGGCCTCTTAATTCCCTAATTACCTGGACTTGGGACCTTTACCTTTAGTCCAGCACCACCACATGGCCACATCCTGCTTTGTAACTATGTTATCTCTGAAATCTTAAATTCATACAACTCTTCCTCTGATCCCAATCTATTCTGTTTCTCTCAGATATCCTGGTGCTAGTTCTCTGACTTTATTGAGATTTCCAATAGCCTTGTCCTTCCATGTTTTTTCAATCTATCTGCCCTCTCCTACCTGGCAGTAGAGTTTAATGGAACGCATGCTCAGTAAGCTACAGTTTCCCGGCTACAGTCTTGGCTTCACTGCTAATTAGCTGTGACCTTAAGCAAGTTATTCAACCTCCCTGTGCTTCAGCTTCCACATTCATTCACTCAACATATATTTTCTGAGTGTCTTCTCCATGCTTGACATTGTTCTAGGTGCTGGGGATTTGGCAGTGAAGAAGAAAAAATCTTCAGAGCTCACATTCTAGTAAGGAAAATACCACACTCACAATGGGGTTACAGTGAAGTTTAAATAAAATATAAAAAACGGACGTGTTCAGACTAGTGCATAATGCTATTTAGGAAACCCATTTCCCCCTTTTCCTTATTCAATTTAGATTCTCTGATGTTCTTCTCAGAAGTTTCTCATTGGATATGCCTGCATGTCAGTCCCTCAGCCCTCAGGGGAGCAGAGCAGGGTTTAAGGGAGCTAGAGATGACTTCTTACACCTTTTCAGTGTGTGTCACAAAAGCGTCACTACATTCTCTGGATGCTATGTTCTGAGAGGTGGCAAAGCCCTCCTGCTGCCTGTGTTCACCGTTCCCTCGGCCTAGGTGCTGCTGCTGTCTATCCATGGTGGGACACCGTTCAGTTCAACTATCTTGGACTGCACTCACTCCCAAGTGCTGCAAGTGCAACGGCAGAGAAACCCGAAGACCTGAACCCTGACATACATTACACATTAAAGTGAAATGTCCCTCATCGTTGCCAGAAAACTCATTTCTACATCTAGCTCATATCCCATTTTCTTTTTTTTTTTTGAGTTGGAGTCTCACTCTGTCGCCCAGACTGGAGTGCAGTGGCCGCTCCCAGCCACCACAGCCTCAACCTGCTGGGCTCCGGCGATCCTTCTGCCTCAGCCTTCTAAGGAGCTGGAAGTACAGGCACGCGTTACCACGCCTGGCTAATTTTTGATTTATTGTAGAGATGAGGTCTCGCCAAGTTGCCCAGGCGGGTCTCGAACCCGCGGGCTCAGGCAATCCACTCACCTCAGCCTCCCAGAGGCGCGGGATCACAGGCTGAGCTACCGAGCCCGACTTCATATCGCATTTTCTACAGTTGGTTCCTCAAACCTTCTTTGTTCTTCTCTCAAACTTTTGATTCCTTCAGAATTCAATTTAGACATCTCTTCTTCTGGGTGCGATCCCTAAACTCCAAAGCCTGTGTTAGCTGCCCCTTTCACGGTTTCCCACATGCCATTACTCACAGTAAATCACATTATGCTATTGCCTGTATACCCATCTGTACCTCCACTGAATCATAAGCCCTAAAAAGACAGGGCATATCACCTCTGCATGAGGTAACAGAACTTACTTCCTAGGCGTTTAAATGTTTCCCTCTCAACTGGTATGAAGGAATTCACTAGTCACCCGAAATACATGTAACAACTGAAAATCAAAAGATGAACAGAAATGTTTTTGGAACACTAGCTAGCTTTAACAAACAAAAGAAAAACTTGGACATATTCCACTCTTAAAGGTATGAGCTATCATTCTAACATCAAGAAGTTGTTTATTTCACCTTAAAAGCAAAATATGGAATAAATGATTAACAGCTAAAACATGTAAAAACGATCATATACTAGCTGATAATCTCTAATCCAAAAATCCGAGATCCAAAATCTGAAACATTTTTTCTTGAGTCAGAGTCTCACTCTGTCACTCAAGCTGGAGTGTAGTGACACACTCATGGCCACCGCAGTCTCAACCTGCTGGGCTCGGGCAATCATTTCTGCCTCAACTTTCCAAGTAGCTGGAACTACAGGTACATGCCACCATGCCTGAATAAATTTTTGATTTATTGTAGAGCCGAGGTCTCACCAAATTGCCCTGGCTGGTCTCGAAACCCTGGGCTGAGGCAGTTCTCTAGCCTCCACCTCCCAAAGTGCTGGGATTATAGCCACCACACCTGGCTCAAAATCTGAAACATTTTTGAGCGCTGACATGATGCTCAAAGGAAATGCTCAATTTGGATTTTGGATTTTGGATTTTTGGATTTGGGATGTTCAGCTGGTAAATATGCTGCAAAATATTTCAAAATTGGAAAACTTCTGGTCCCAAGCATTTCAGATAAGGGATACTCAACTTATACAAAGTTAAAATAAATTCAGGCTTCATTTTCTTATATACCATATATACTTTTTGTAGAATTACAGAGTAATCTCTCTTTCCCTTCCCTGACATTGTGACAGACACATATAACATAACTACAAGACAAAATGTATCATACCTCTACATCTGAAGCACTTCGGGGCTGAGCTTGGCATAGCATATTTAATAATTGTAAAATTAATTCTTCAACATATTGAAGAGCATCATCATTAGACTCAAGAGTAGGATGAACTTGCCCCTGGACCTATAAACAAAAAGCAAAGTAATTAAAATGTGGGTTTTAGCTAATTAAACAAAAAAACTTTTAAAAATGTACTCATGGACATGGTCTGGCCTGCAGATACAGGTGTGAATGTTACTGACCCAGAAGTGAGGCATACTCAACCTGTTTTCCCAGTCACATGCACCATACATGCTTATAACGTGCTCTTGGAGATTCAGTTTATCCAACTGTATAATTTCAACATTATTTTCTTACACCATGGTTACAAAAAGCAGTTTATATGTTTTTTCCCCAGGAATCAGAACATATATTCAACATCCTGCTCTGGCAAAACTGACTTCCTATTGGTCTCTGACCCTTGTTTAACTCTACCGTTTCTAATAAATGATAACATCCAAGAGGGACACTCTCACCTCTGGCGTCTAGCATTGTGCAGGGCATACAAAGTACAAGTTTGAAAATTTTGTGAACACAATCACCTTATATCAAAGAACACAAGATTTCACTTATACAATTTCTGGCTTTGTCTATACTGTAGGAAGCTGGGTAGTCTAATGATTTCTGCCTTCCTTTTCCTTGACCATTTTTTAAAAGGTACTTCTGGGTACCAACCTCTGTAAAGCTTGCATCTTAATAACCAGCATGATCATCTTTACTTGCATTCCTTTGTCACAACTGCTGTTCACTTAAAAAATGGAAGAAAAAGCAGTTCCAGGAGATAAACAATACAGGTTTCAAAACGCTGAACTCTCCAAAGGGTGGCAGAACACTTCCCAGATGAAAAGAGCAGTCCCGGGCCCAGATCATGCAGTATGGTCTGTCCTAACACACACGCCTCACTAGCATGCACCACCATGCCTGGCTAAATTTTTTTGATATTTGGTAGAGATGGTGTCTCGCTATATTTCACAGGCTGGTCTGAAAGTCCTGAGCTCAATCAATTCTCCTGCCTCAGCCTCCCAACATGCTGGGACTATAGGCATGAGCGACTATGCCCGGCCCAATTCACAATTCTAAAGGTAGATATTTTTGGCATAAATAGCATTGTAATAGTTCAGAACTGCATGAGGGGTACTACATAGAGTATGAGATTTAAAACAACTTTTTGGGGGGTGGGTAGAGATGGGGTTTTCCTATGTTGTCCAGGCTGGTCTTGAACTCCTGGTCTCAAGCAATCCTCCTGCCTCAGCCCCCCTAAGTGTTGAGATTACAGGTGTTAGCCACCACTCCCAGACTAAAACATTTTTTAAAACAATGCACTTTTGTAGGTAAAGAAACTGATATCTAGAAGGCTTAAATCATCTGCCCAAATACATTCAATCATACTCAGCATAGCATTTACCAACCTGATTATAATTTATCTTTTCACAAACATCTCCACCCTATTAGTTGGCTGAATGGCTGTACAGCTAAAATAATGGAGTCTAGACTAGAACCCAGGATTCGTACTGTAATTCTGAGTCCAGCGCTCCCCATCCCCCACACCACCACTCTGTAATGTACATGGCATCAAGCCTTACACCCTTATTCCTCTTCAACACTCAGCATGACTGAACCACTCTTTTTAAAAACAAAAAGCTGGACCTTGTCAAGTTTTATTTTTGTACACTGAACTACATGCCCCAATGGCGTTCTCTGTCTTCTCAGACATACTTTATCTCAACAGCTGACTTGTCTTTATGTTGCAGTGAATCCTGACACCACAGGGTGGGCTGTTTCTATCAGTTCTCCGTTAAGTTCCTTCCATTTCTGAAACCTCTTTTTTAAATATTAATGACACAATCTATTCTATTTCTTCTCTAATGTCCTTCCTCCTTCTCCACTTACTTGTAGAGTCCCCTGTCTTCCTCCATCCCTTTTCTTTTTTTATTTTTATTTTTATTTTTTGAGTTGGAGTCTCATTCTGTCACCCAGACTGGAGTGCAGTAACCACTCCCGGCCACTGCAGCCTCAACCTGCTGGGCTCCGATGATCCTTCCGTCTCCGCTTTCCAAGTAGCTGGAACTACAGGTGTGCGCAACCACGCCCAGCTGATTTTTGATTTATTGTAGAGATGAGGTCTCACCAAGTTGCCCAGGGGGGTCTCAAACCCGGGGGCTCAGGCAATCCACTCACCTCAGCCTCACAAAGCGCGGGATTACAGGCTGAGCCACCGAGCCCGGCTTCTCCATCCCTTTTCACTTGTCCGTCTGTTCCCTTCTTCTGTTCTTTCCCCCAAGAACTTTCATTTACTTCCAGATTTTGAACTATCACCTATGTGGATAACCCCAAATCAATCCTTAATCCTGATTTCTCTCTGGGGTTTTAGACCCATACTTCAAAGTACCTGCTCAAAAATCAATCAATCAATCAAAACAAGCAAAAAAACAAAGTACTTGCCAGATATTTCCGCCAAGTCTACCACTTCAAATTTAACAACAACAAAAATAATATATACATATATCTGAAAAACAACAGTATAGACAGCCTCTGGTTTCACTATGATATAGTCCTGAAAAATGTAGCTACTGTTAGGGGTTCTACTCCAGTTCAGGGCCTCAGCATCACATAAACTATAATTACAAATTTACAAAACCACAGACTATTAGAATTGAAAGGGACTTTAGAAGTCATTTAACTGAATCCCCATTTAGTAGATGAGAAGAAGGAGACACCCACAATCCTGTCGCTAACTGGTAATACTGTAAGTATTGAACCTGGGCCTCTTGGCATCTAAGCCTGAGCTCCTTACATTAAACTCTTGACTATCAAACCTGGAGGAATCTGGGGTGCAACCTAATAGACCACTAAGCACAGTGGGTGCCTGTGAACCATATGGATTTACATAGCAGGCTTCTACATGAAACTTTGGCTTGAAGTATGTTATCATACTTTAATAAAACATTGCATGTCATAAATGCAAATACAGCCTTATAAATCTTTACAATTTGAAAAGGCAAAAGATCACTAATTATACAAAGAATCTCAGTGTTTATAAATATGTAAAATTAAAAATATGCTAAAAATCTGGCTAAAACTCAAAGTTAGAAAAGGTAATAAACATTAAAATGTAAATGTTTAATCAACAAGAATTCTAATTACTTTTTTAAAATATCAAAGTCCTTTGAAGAAGTGGTTAAGATATCTCAAAACAAGTTTTTAAAAGTGCTCAAGAAAGTGAAAAGTGATGAATTTTTTTTTAAATTCATTGTGCTGGGCGTGGTGGCTCACACCTATAATCCCAGCACTTTGAGAGGCTGAGACAATAGGACTGCCTGAGCCCTGGGGCTCAAGACCAGTGTGGGCAACTTAGCAAGACTTCATCTCAACAATAAATCAAAAAATGATCCGGGTGTGGTGGCACACGCCTGTGGTTCCAGCTACTTGGAAGGCTGAGGCAGGAGGATCACCTAAGTCCAGTAGGTTGAGGCTGCAGTAGTCATAATTGTGCCAGTGCACTCCAGCCTGGGCAACAGAGTGAGGCTCTGACTCAAAACAAAACAAAACAAAAACAAAGTTCATTGTTTTTCAAAGAAGCCCCCCCCCAAACAATATAATCTTTCACTAATATAGCCCCATATCCAGCTGCTCATCAATTTACACTTTATGCTAATGCAATCCCGACTATTTGCAGTTTGCTACAATATGGCATGCCATTTCACTCACACTTCTCTATGCCTGCATTCATCCTCTTACATTTTTATTTGCCTGTTTGACTGTCAAAACCCAGATTTTATCTCATTTGGGAAGACTTCCTTGTTTCTTGTCTCTTTCTAAGGCAGAATTCATCTCATTCATTTAACTGATTTACTGAACCTACTAAATACCAGACTCGCTGTTAGGTGCTGATATACAAAGATGACTTTGGCCCCTGCTCGTATGGACCTTATCCTCAGCTCTGTGCTAGTTCCTAGCCTAGGCACCATATGTTTGTTACTGGGTCCATCATACAGAACGATTATCGCATGCTCCCTCATCTGTTTCCTTGACTGGGCAGTGATGCTCCACTTGGGCAGGCCTTGTTTATAGAATCACATTGTCCTTGCTTTTCACTGACAGTCAGGAATCCTCAAAGCCTCTGTGCTGTAGAGGTGAGGAGCATAAAATATTTATTTCTTGGAATTAAAATTGAAAAGAGGTGGTGGTAAAGGCTAAAAAGTCTATTTGGTTGTTTGATTGATTTTTCCTGAAATTTCTTTAAAGCAGAAATTATTCAATATACAAAGGCAGTTAGAACTAAAATAGATGTTTATTTTGTAGAATCAAATAAATTTTATATGGTCACAGCAGGGAAAAATAAAAGGGTTAAAAACAACAACTTGATACTGCTCCTAATTCAAGCACATACAATTTAAATGTTAAGTTTGGCACTTTGTAGGATAAATAAAACCTTAGAAATTCAACTTCAAGCAGTTTTATTTATTGTTGGTTGCTAACATCCTGATAAAACCTATCAAATAAGTAAATCAAACACAGAATTTGTTTGTTTAAACAAAAATGATGCATAGTGCTAACTGAACTTCTAAGCTTCTGGACAGTAACCTTGGTCACATCTTAAAATGTGTCAAATTAAGATCACAAAATTTATCCATACAAGAGACCAATAAGTTATTTTACTTCCTTAAAAACAAAAACAAAATTTCAAAACCTCTGATTGAAAAACAGAGGCAATGGTCCATGCTTAAAAGGCAAGCAGAGTACCAATTTCTGAAAATACAAGGGCTGTTCTTTACTCTTTCAAGAAAGATGCTGTTAAGATATTTCTTTAAAGGGCAGACAGAAGCAGTATTATATTTCATATGCAGATAGACTAAAAACACTTTAGATTGTATTACAGCTAAAGTACTCCATTCCATCAAATGGTACTCAGATGAGCCAAGTTACACAAGTTCATACAGAATAGGTTACCCTGCTAAATCTTACAACAACCTTCTGGTATTTACTGAATTGAATGTGTGTGTTTGAACAATTACAAAAAAACAAAACAAAACTGGGTTTAAACTATGTGAGTTTTCTCCTACATATAGTTTTCAAAAACAT